AAATTTACCCAATGAGGACTACAAAACTTGATATATATATATATGTAATAACCCAACCATTGATAGGCCAGGTTACACCGACAGGTTATATCTAGACACAAATATACTCTAGGCAAAACCAGCCCTTCTTGTAAGTAGTTGAGCTTTGTCCTGCTTTTCAATGGGATTAGGCCGGGTGGGAGCTTGGAAGTGTCGTAGTATTAGTCGTATCCATGCAGTTTCTTCCTTTTGATAGTTGTTACCATATGTTGTCTTTTGTGTTTTAGTTACCACATTAAAGCGCGCTTAAGCCCTGAAGTGAGGCTCAAAACGTTTTGAACGCTTCTCCTCGCTTTATGTGCGCTTCACTATCATCATCAAGGCTCTAAGACATACTTTTCTTTGTGTATGTTTTCTCCATTTGCACCTTTTTCTCAATAAAGCCCATACTTTATTTGCGCTTTGCACTTAAAGCCCCAATGAACCTTAGTGGTTTTTTGCGTTTTTCGCTTTTGATAACACTGTTCATAATTACTTTGACTTGTTGCACTTGAGTTGAGTGTCTTTTGGAAACAGCATCTCTGCCTCCACGAGGTTGGGGTAAGGTTGGGTACACCCTACCCTCTGTAGAACCCACTTGTGGGATTTCACTGGGTGTGTTGTTATTCTTGTAATGAAGTTCCAGTTTGTACCGAAGAATGGGTATTGTTCATATATAATCATATTATGTTGTAGATTCTTTACTTTTGGTATACTACTTGTGAAATAATAAATTTTTTCTCTGAATGTCTTAATTAAATTCTTTTTAGATAAAAATATTCAAAGATATCAATAAGCTCATAATGAAGAGGTAATAGCACGAGATCTTCTAGAAATCTCAACAAATATCATGCAAGTATAACAAAATTAGGGTACTCCTTTATTGGTCAAATTCGAGAGTTGGAGCACTACATTTGTACCATATGGAATATCCAATGAATGTTTTTTCAACTTCAACTTACTTTTATAGACTCCAAGGAAAAAAATAACAATAGACGAGTGTATAATTGGTACAGTTGCACATGAGTTACCCCAACTTCAACTCATTTGAAAAATGAATTGTGCCACTGTGTTGATGATCCACTTGATTCCATATTTAGGTGACCAATCCTATTTTAACTGCTGCAGAAATAGGTCGAGTATCCAAAATACCAGCACTACACCAGCCGCAACACCTCTGAAGGCTCTGAAAGTTGGTTTTCCCTTCTCTATGGTAGTAATCTCATGGCTCATATAAAGTAGGACATGGAAGAAATCGCATACAAGGAGAAGAATAAAAATGATGTAACATCGCTCACATAAGAACATACAATTTTTGGATTAATAGAGACTGTAAAAACTGACAACTGAGATGGTATATTAACATGTGGAATCGTTGAACATGAAACTTAAGCAGTGTCTCCTACAAGAATACCTGTTCTTCCTCTTTTGACATGTGCTGACTAACAGAAGTTTGCAATGCCCCAGTACAAGATGCTAGCTCTCGTGGAAATCTTTCGCAATTCTGCTTCTCAGAATTTAAGATCTCAAAAAGGTGATCAAAAAGATCATTTTCACCTTGGTGCTCTAAGGAGTATGTTGGTGCTACATTCTTCACACGTATATCAAGAGCTGGAAAGATCACCTGCAATTGTTATAATCATGCTATCATCTCTATCAAAGGCATGACAAGGAGACATTTACAAAGTAGACCCAACTAGGAAACATGTCACTTTATCACGCATAACAAAAAAAAAGTCAAATCATCCACGGTACTTTTTCTTATAATCCAAAAGGATTTCATCGCATGTTACACCAAGATGGTTTAACTTCTACAAGAAGTATGGCATTCAGTATCCAGAAAATCATCCAACTATCTATACAAAATGGAATGGTTACACCAAAAACACCGTTCAAGCGAAAGGCCTCCTTCGACATTTTTATGTTGTTCTTCCTGCTCCTTCAAAAGTTATTCAATATTTTTCTAGCCAAATCATCCAAAAATGCACAAGAGGTATTGTCTTCCATGTTGCACCTTTCTAGTCTTTATTCTCTCTATCCTCCAACTTTCTATAACTTCCGCAACTTCTTTTAGAAGGTATCCAAGCTTATTAAACAAAGAATACACAAATGACCAGACTGAAAATCTTCGGCAATTAAATTGTATAGGGTGAGCGTAACATCGGTGGCCTCTGCAGATCTAAACTTAAGGTCTTCACCATTAACCCCAAATCCATTATCATTTAATATAAGAAAGAGAATAAACACACTACCAAATGGAAATACAAACATGTCATGTACGTCAATTGGCAATAGCATTGAGGACTACCATTTTAACCATTAGACCATCAAAGCATACAACAGAGTCTCTCTATCTCAACAAGATGTCAATCCTTAATCTGCAGTAGAAGAAGAATGTAATTTGTATTCTAATCCCCATCGTGGCCTGATAAAGGGATTACTTTCATGTATGAGCAGTCTACAAGGCTTGTTGAGGACTCTTGTCCTCGCCAAACAAGGAGCAGCCTATTTAGCATTATCTATAAAACTAGATTGCTCCAAAAAGGAAAAAAATGAAACTAACACCGTCAGAAGAAGTGCCAAGAAATTAGAGGTGAGAAGTATTGATTGATTAGGATCAGACTTCAGAGTGTTTGCCCCAATAAAAAACAGAACAGACATTAACAGAAAACATGTACACAAATCACTATTCATAAGAAGGATCACACAGCTAGACAACAGGTAAATAGGGAAGATCACTAAAAATTCAATAGCAACAAGAAGCAGCATAATGTTGGAAAAAAAAATAATTTAGTAACTTAATAGAATGGCTTGATTGGCAATTCCATATACAGATAAGCCAATGCCACTTGATACAACAATGTTAAGACACAAAAACAATCTGCTAGTGAAACTGAAGCATTCAAAAGTTGTTTTGTTACCTCATCTTCAGCATGACAATGGTGCTTGTAAACTGTTCTAAGAAAACGGTACCGCTTTAGCAAAGGCTGTATATCTTCCAATTGTCCAGTAGCATACGCTAACGCCGAACGGTGAAGTGCATCAAGCTCCAGCCGAATTGCCTTATGAAAAAAAAGAAAAAACAGAATTGGAGACCTCTGCTTACCACCACTAGTCTCCTTTTCCAAAACTCCATTAGAAGACGATGCAGAGGAATCCACCGCATTGACTCCTCCGCCACATAAAACCGCTATTCCTCCACCTCCCTCTCTCCCTTGAGTCGCCATTCTCCACCGCTTCTAGCCCTAATTTCTCCAAAATTTTCAACAATTCTGAATACTCAAAATAGAATTGGCACTTTCTCCTTTCTGTTTTTATCCTTCACGTCTGCAGACAAAAACACACACAGTTTTCCTCTCTGTGTGTGAATTCAGAAATTTTGCAACACGTAGTTTTTGTATTAGAGAAATTTGCATTCAAAGACTCCGCCAGAAATGTCTCTATGTGACTAGTCAGTCATACATACGTGTGCACATAATACGTAGCCTTTTTCTCTTTTTCTTTTTCTTTCTCAATTTAGATACACATAACTACTTTTTAATTATCAAATCATGAATATTTTTTACACATAATAAGGGATTCCTAGTTATGGATTAGAACTGGTGGAATACTTTTCTTCATACTTTGACCTGGACCCCATGTGCCACATTGGATTATCTTCTTTTTTATACTTTAAAACACAAATAAGAAAAAATTATTCAGATGTTAAACACTCTTCATTTTCAATTTTAAAATTTAAATCTCAAACAAATTAAAGTTCCACTAAATGATATTTACATTATAAAACTTTATATTAGAAAAAAAAAAAGTATTTTCAGCAATAATACTATGTTTTTACTTTGTTTGGAAAATTAACATCTAAAACTGATTAATTAAAGGTAAAGAAAAGTAAGTAGGGACGAATTTGTCGTTTAGTGACAGTCAATTGGATTCTACCCACATAATCAGAAAGAGTGATTTCATCAAATAAAGACAAAAGTGTAAGAAAGATGTGTGTGTGGATGAGGAAGGAAATAAGTAGTTAATGGATGAGATTTTCAGAATTGATTGCTCATTACTTTCTTAGTTGGGAGATTAACCTTTTTTTTCTCTAGTCAAATTTTAGTTGGGAGATAAACTTGAACAAGTTTCGACTCTTTTTTTAAAAAAATTTGCACTGATTATTGCATTATCTTAAATCCTTTGACTGTAATTAATTCTACATAGGTGAGTCATCAGTGAGGTCATTAGTGTGAGCAATTTGGTGTTAATTTATTTGGTTTGTTTGATTTTAAGAACTTTATTGACATGTTCATACCAATATAAAATTACATTAGATCATTTGATTCAAAATGAAACCATATTAGAATCAAAATTATCAATCCCACTTTTTATATGAAATAAATAGTTTGTTAATTATGGTATAAAGTTTATCCTTAGGTAATTATCCCAACCATAAGTTAAGAATTCCTCTGACCAAACAGCAATAGCTTTCGAATATTTTTTTTAAAATATAAGTAAGCGGCAAGGATTCCACAGAAATTTGTATTTACACACTATTCAATGAATGTCTGGAAAATGGGTTAATAACTGGTGAAATACGGAACTGATAAATTACTTTTTTTAAAAAAAAAAAAAGCGACTCATATAAACTACTATAATATAATAATAGTCAATATAGAAAATTGATACAAGTCAACTTTAATTATTACTAATAATAGACTTCATTGTTAAAGGACAAGCAATATTCTTCTTTTTCTCTCTTTTTTTTGGTTAAAAAAGTTGGGTGGTGATTTTTAATAGTATATATTATTATTATTATTATTATTATTATTATTATTATTATTATTATTATTATATATGGCACGCAAATAGCTTGTGCAGAGAGTGTGGAAGGGAATAGAATCAACTACCAACTCAGTTTAAACAAAGCTAGCCATTCGAAATACACGCTTTCAAATATTGATACTTGTTAATATCTCAATCATACTAGTGCACCTAATTAGAAAGAAAAGAATCAAAGCTGTCCATTTCACGACCTATGTGCCTGCACTTTTTCGAGTTAATAGTACAGAAATACATAATAAAATTAGAGTTATACTAAAGAACAAGAAAAAGAATCATATCGGAATAAAAATGTAACGTACATGTAAAAGTATTACTAGCCCCACCATAGATTCCCACTTTTCCTTGAGAAATAGAAAGAGGATACCAGTCACTTTACAGAAGATGATAAATTTGGGCAGCTTTTGCTGTCCATGTCTCTCATACAAGCAACAGATCCTTAACAAATACTTTTGCTGCTGTGTTCTGGCCATGCCATGATTCTCATTCCACTACTGAAAAATTCTTTACTCCTGCTTCCCTATAACTCGGGTCACCAGACCAAGGGCAACAGTTCTTCCTGATGATCGGAGAGACACCCTTCCAAGAGCTTTACAGTTAGAATGCTCGTCAATGCAAACCATTCCTTGCAAAACCACCTAAGCCATCACAAATAAGCTTATCGAAATGAGTTATCTTTAACAAGACACTTTTCAACCTTCACATGGACGGCAGAAGCATATTGCATGCATCCGCCCACCAAAGAAAAAGAAATACACAAAAATAAACATGAAACATGACAGTTGCTTTTGTCAAAAACCTCAATCATAGCATTCTGCTTTGCCAGAAGACATCGAGGTGATTTTTTGGTCTCCTTTCCAGTCTTTGGATCAAGCAATGACAAAATCCTCACAACTCTTGCAGCCTCCTTAGCGTGGTGTACAAGAAATTCCAACTGCATAGTTCAAGATATTAAGTGCTCTATAACCATTAACTATACATAAGACATGGAACACGGAAATTTCTGAAATTTTCACTGGAACGATCGATTAATGGATGGTACCTGAGAACCAATTAAAATTGGAATGCCATTGTCCAGGATGAGGACCTTCAGCTCCAAATGATTTGCAACTGGAACAGGGAATTCAGGGTGGCACAAGACACCTCCCGCCATCACGTGATTTGCATCAATACCCTGTAGATTGATAGTGACACTGTCTCCAGCTTTTGCAGCGTTATAAACCTGAGAATCACGTTCCAAAGAACGCACTGTCGCCACATCTCTGAATGGCATAACTAAAACCTGGCCATGTTCATAATTTGGTGTTAACTACATAGGTATTAGTCTGTCAAACATAATGGAACTACACTGCCAACAAAGTAGATTTCAGAAGTTTCGCAGCTGCAGTTTGCTCTTTGCTAAATGGAACATTTTTCCTACTCTTTATTTCATTATGATCAGCAAAAAAAATTCCTTTCTTCCACCACTTAATCTCTTCCTAACTCTATTTTCCTGTGTTCCTCTTCAAGCATCTTTCTATACTGCACAGTTCTGCCTCTAAAATGTTGCTTATTCATGTGTGGTAGACATGTTTTATTCTTTCCATACTTCTCCCCAATTTTCAAGGATAGTGTCGATGAAATCTTATGGCCCCATACTATTGTTTGTAAAAAATACATATAGTGTCAATAATCTTGGCTCAGCTTTTTCGAAAAGTACCTAGGGCATTCTATTTCTCTAAATTATCTCTCAAGACTTCATGCAGATATCAAATGTTCAGAGCCTTTCTCCAGCTGAGTCATCATAAATTAAGAAAAAACAGCAAAACAAACTCACAGCTACTACTGCAACAGAACCAGCCAAAAGAGATCAGATATCAAACCAGAAATGATTTCGGTTAAAAAAGCTTAAACACCAACAACAACAAAGTTGAGACAAACCGTTCAACTATTTATATATAACGAATACAATCAACGATACACAAAGAAAGATGATTCTGATATTATAAATATCTAAATCTCAGAAATAGCAACTGATGTTTTTCAAACTTTTCACAAATTTTAGCAGAAGAGCATCCAAGTGCACAAACCAACATCCTTCTCGGCTAAAAAGTGAGAAAATATATAGAAGAATGAAGATCAACCACAATGAAGGTTTCTGGCAGTGTTTTGATCTATCCCAAAACCTTTCGGTCTCTTTTGTAGGATTCAAGTGATTCTGTGGTTTAAGACAGTTCTCCAGTTGTAAGAGATATGTTTGCTCTATAAATGTGACTCATAAAAAACGCGTTAATGACTTTAAAAAGTCCTACAGACAATAGGGCCTATACACGTTTGTCGCATAGGAGCCTTTAAACATTGCTTCTACTACCCTTTTGTTTTTTAAAAAAAAAACATAAGCGGGTTTATAGTAACGTTACTGACACGTTTAAATATATGTTGTAACCTGAGCTACGAAGCTTTCACCGATCTCCGTCAGCCCTTAGTTTTTACCCATTGGAATTTTGGAATAAATTAATACTAAAAATGTTACTCATAAATACCTTTTAATCTGTTTTGGAAATTTTCTAAAAAGCTGCATCTTTTTTGTTATTTAGTTTGGATAAAGGATTATTTAGGTTAAACTTCCTCTTTCTGACACTAATCTGGATAAAGGTTAATGTTTTATGTTTATGATGACATAAACCATTAAGTAAGAACATGAACCCCCCAAGCATGTGTTACATAGAGGAAGAAAGGGTACAAGAAAGGAATATTGTAGTAGTCTCCAGTACCTTATTTCCAGTTTGAAGAGCTCCCCTCTCCAACTTACCACATATTGTCACTTGTCCTTGAGACTGTGCTCTAACAACATCACATATAGGCAATAAAAATGGCGTCGAGTAGTCTCTTTGAGGAGGTTGGAGAGAGTCTATTGCATCCAATAGGCAAGGACCTCGAAACCTGCAAGTTTTCGAAGCCATGTTCTTACTTCATGAGTTTGTTAAGAATCAAGACAAAAAGGTACCTCCAGTAATTTGTGTTAAACCAACTAAGGATTTTTGATAAGCCGATATTAAACAACTAAACCTCAGTCCCAAATTAATTGGATTCAGACACTTGAATCCTCCATTTCCATTCTGCTCTATCCAAGTCCATTTCATTTCAATACTAATTAGTTTTTTAAAGCAGATTAGGAGCTTCATATATGGGATAAAGTTTTCTAACTAAAACAAATGCTCCTGAAAAAAACTAATCTAATGTGAGCATACTACAACTACTAAGCCTTGATCTAAACTAGTTGGTATCACCTAAATGGATCTATTATTTTTAGCTAAATCTACACTGATTCTAGAGCCTCTAGGTTTTATAAGACATTCTCTCATTGTAATTTTAAGTCTGCCTCCATCCCCCTTGATCATCTTCAATCACCTTGTCCTACCTATTAACTTCTGCACATGGAGTTTTATGTAGGATATGGTGAATAATCTCAGGCCACATTCTATCATTTTGTTCTATACGTGTGCTCTTGTGTTATTTGTTGAATATGCCATCTCTTATCTATGTATATCTACAACATTCATCTTATGGGTGTGTTGGTTTTAGAGGTCCAATACTCACTTCCATTTACATTGTAAACCACAATTACTCATAAAATTCAACTCAATGGCACAATCTTCATCTTAACAAGTAGACCTTTAAGTTATTGATATCTAAGAAGACTTTCGCTATTTTAAATTCCAGCTACCTATTGTTTTAAGAACTCTTTGTTATGTGATAAAGTTAAGAGATGTGACTAGAATTAAATATACAAGTAAGGTTGTGCTTTCTTAAACCCACAAACCCATGACACAAAAAACAGGAAGGAAAAAAAGAAGAAGAGGATGTTGGTTAGTAGGCTAACCAGGACAACAACCGTGATTCTGACGGACCTGTCACCAAATTTTGGTTTTCCATGGCACTTAAGGGAATCCATGCTACTGAAGAATCTTTAAACTTACAGGCACGGAGAAATGTGCCTAATTGTTTCTTAATTGCATCAAATTGTTCTTTGGAATATCCCACTGCATCCATTTTGTTAACTGCAATTATAATCTGATCCACCCCAAAGCTTTTGATAAGTTGTGCATGCTCCCTCGTCTGACCTCCAGTAGCATCAATACCTGCTTCAAATGCACCTACTGAAGCATCAATTACAAGAATTGCTGCATCTGCTTGTGTAGCCCCTGATATCATATTTGGGACAAAGTCCCTGTGGCCTGGGGAATCAAGCAGAACAACACGGTAACACTTTGTGTTAAAGTAGGCAACACCCACTGTCATAGTTATTCCCCTTTCTCTTTCTTCAGCACTCTCGTCCAATGCCCAGGCATAAGCAAACGACCCTTTTCCCTGATTGAATAGACAACAGACTTGTCAACAAACTCGTAAACATTTGATTGTGTCTTACACAAAAAGGATGAGAATAATCACTTGCTGCTTAGCCTCTTTTTCATATTTGTGCATTTCCTTATGGGATATCCGCCCCAATAGGTGCAACAACCTTCCTGACAGTGTTGACTTTCCAGAATCCACATGGCCAACCTACATATTGGGAAAAATTGTGACTAAAAGCAGTGTAATATACACTAAATCAAGAGAATGTAAACAAAGGACTTACAATTGCAAGATTTAGCTGGTTGAAGTTGTCTTCTGTTTGAGGAGGCTGTACAATTTTCTGAGGCTTATTCTTTGAGCTTGATGCTGCACTGTCACTCTTTCCTGTATCCACACTGTGAGGCTTTGATGATATAGATATATCGTTCAAATTGCTTGTTAGGTCATTATTTCCCCTAGTTTTCAAAGCAGAACCACTATCCTTCAGATCATAGTGTTTAACTTTTGCTAATGAGGTTGAAGAGCTTGGATGCCCTTCAACAGCCAATTCCTTTTTAACTTCTGTACTCAGTTCCTTGCTATTTGATGGGATATCTAACTGTATGATCTTGTCAGTATCAGCTGCTGAACAAGGCAAATAAAAGATGTCAAACTCTCCAAAATGAAAAAATATATAAAACAAAAGAAAACAGTTACACGACTGAGTGTTCAATACAACCCTAGAAAAGGGTATTCGCGAACCCTAACCTAAGTTAAACAGGGCCAAAGAAAAGAAAAACAGAAATTTCATGAAAACACTAAATTAACAATATCACGGTATCCAAATGAGATTTAAGACTTATATTAATTTAACAAGAAATTTAAGCTATTACTTGGCAAACCACTAGAAAAAAACTGAAAATGCCATGTATTTACTCACTCTTCCAAGGAAAAGAATAAGAAGATTATGGTGGAGAAAAAAAGTAAGGAGCAGTAAATTATTATAATTATTGTAAGAACATGATTCACTCACTGTCCAGTGTTTCAAAGGGAACACCCAGACATCTATGCTCTCTCACATAACTCTCAAAAAATAGTGATATATCTTTCCGATGAGGAGGGCACTTGTAGTGACCCTTCATTGACTATTTCCAAGCTCCATCTTCGTCAATTAGGCCAATGCAAGAATGGTTGATGCATTAAGATTCACTGATTGCAAGTTTTTTCTTCCCAATTTCTCATTTATTTTTGCAGTTAACCAACGTGAGTGCAACCTCCCCCATTGACTCCACGGACTTAAATGCTAGAAGTGCTATTGCCCTAACTAAGAACCACCTTAAGGAAACAGGACACAAAACAAGTGTAAAAGTAGAATCAAAAGCATGAATAGAGTACCTTTGGGACGTAATTTGGATGGTGCTATTCCACTCAGTACTAAATCGTCTGGAGATGGGGAGTCAAACTTGAAAGGTACTGCACCACCATTAGCATATGTGAGGAAATGAATTAAAAGCAAAGATGGTCAAATACTGAACAGAGATAGAAGTACCATAATGCAACAAACACAATTTTTCAAGCAAAGGGGAGGGAAAAAAAGGAATGCATATGTCTATACACCGGCCTGTGCTTGAACATGTGCAGACCTATATCAATCTTGCAATGGCTTTGAGAGCAAAAAGCTCTGTGTAAATCATGAAACTGTCCACATATATTTCCAGGCTTGTAGAAGTTAAAGCAATCTTCGGTCTTAAAAGAGTAATTCTGTGCTTCAAAGTTTATAACATTTTTTGCTTTCTGAAGCAGCAGTGATGGAAATAGAGACTCGGCCATTACAGATGCTCCACAATCTTTACATATGCCACCAACTGCACGGGAACCATCTACTCTATGAAGCAGCAAGCAGACCACACATGAAACAACAAGCAGAACAGATAAGACCTATATATAATTATGTAAAAAAGGTAGTTTGTCCATACAACCTAATGACCTTTAAAATAGGCAGACCAAGAACAGAGAAATGCCCAAAACCTTCAAATAAGCATTATATTGTAGTAAGTAAATAAAGCATGAAATATAACATTAGAGATGGACTACCCATGAAACAATTCCATCTCCCACCCCCAAAGAAATGTTTTCTCATGTTCTGTAATACGCGTTGGTCCATAGTGCAAGTAAGCAAAGCAGTTCACAACTTCACATGTGTGCTAGTCTGCTAGATGGCAATGACAAATTTCAGAGACAAACATCAAATAAAATCAAGGAGAATGCGACCAAACACAAGGAAACAGTTCCTCTTCCCAAACCCTCACAAAAAATGTGTTGTCGTGTTCTCTATTTCCCTGGTCCATACTGCTAGTATTCACAAGAATGCTATAGGGTAGTAATAAATTACACAAACATATATATACCAGCAGACAAGCTAGCAATATGTAAAGCATGAGACAACATCAAGGAGAATTGCAACCAATGGACTACCAAGGAAACAGAAAAACAGTTCCCTCTTCCTGCCCCTCCGCCCCCAAAAAAAAATAAATTGTTTTCTCATGTTTAATGGGGATGGAAAATACAGTAACCAATCTGTCCATAAGAATGTTAAGCGTAGAAACAAATTTCACAGAGACGCACATATTTAGACCCTGAGGACAGGTTCCAGAGTTGCTAACCTGCACTTTCTTTACTGCTGACACATTTTTTGACCAATGGATTACGAAGGACTCCACATATATCACATACATTCATGGTATCTTCATTATCAAATGTGCAAATAGGACAATGCCAAACCCCAGACTTAACCGACTCCTGTTTTGACCTTGTTTCTGGCGGCACACCTGCAGCAAATTGTTAAAAAGCATATTGAGTTCTTCAAAGTTCTCTTAGCATTTACGGGGTTTGCTATTTTCAGGACCTTCGATCTTGGTAATCAACCATAAACATTTAACTACGCAAAGAAGAAATCTCATTGGTATTTCCTGTGTTCTTTCATGTAATAGTACTAGTTGTAAACTTAGTGTAGAGCGGTAAACATGACATTAAGGACCTCAATTTAAATGGTCATGAAGTTGCATAGGATATCATTATCTGTAGAAGAGTACCAAAAGCTTTGGATGTTCCAGCATGGGAGACAAAAATTGAGTGAGACACAGAGAGTGTAACACTGTAAATTTTAGGGAGTCCTCCAAGAAGTTAATCAGATCATATGTTAAGCCTGGAAATAATTTTGAGTAAGTTGTTAAGTATTTTTATCCTTCAAGGATTCCCAGTGAGTAGTATAGAGAAGAGCCCCACACAACAACTAAATGTTCTCCACCAACCTACTTCAAGAAACAGTCAACGATGGAATGATTACACATTAATGATTGTTGTAACAGTTCAGAGAAAAATAACACAATACAGCAAGTCATTTCAATTTAATGGACAATACCATGAATTTTAATTAGCTTCCAGAAACGAGTTTGGAAGTACATATAATACTTTTATTCAAACATGACATCAACAAAGGTAAGCCAGCATTACAAAGAAGTGATCTCAGTATGATTAGTGTCTTTTGCTATTCTTGTTTGTTAAGGGCTTGAGGGGAGATAGAATGGGATTGTGCTGCCTCAAGATCTTAAGCATGAAAATCTCAAGCTCCCTAGAAAGAACTGAGGTACTCACCATTTTCCTCTGCATAATCATACCCATCATCATTTTCATAACCGTAATCTTCATAGTCATCAAAATCTTCCTTGTACTTAACTCCATAATTTACCTTACGAGGCATCGTGAACTTTCAGTTATGCCTAAAAATCATGTACTTGAATGGTTACTCTCTTGATAAATCAAACCCAGATTACCAAAGGTGCAACGTAATATGTAAGCTCAGCAATTCCAACAGTAAAACAAAACACAGTTTTCCTTTGTCATGCTGAAATAAAGTTGAATATGAATGTAATTTACCTTGACGTTGATGATCTCATTTGGAAAACATCTTCTCCAACGGATTTACGGACCAGGAAATCTTGTCCCAATCTGTGCAGAAAATTCATAAAATACACACAGAAGACAGGAACATCTTCTGTGAATGTGCTGAGCGTGGGGGAAGAAGATTTAAAGTTTCCTGTCCAATCAAAGAAGCTACTGGATCAGAAAAAAGTTTAAATTAAGTGTATTCATAAATTTTATCTTATCTCTGCTCACAACAGGTTATATGTTATATGGCTCAGCCTTTCAATCCCTTGAAACAAGCTCTTGAAAGGAAGATAAAAGAATTATGAGTTCCAAGAAAATTCTTTGCAGATATGACGTGGAGGAACAATGTCATATACAAGCTATGTATTTCAGTTCAGAGTTTATCCTCGTGTATGTATATAGATGTCTATATGACTTGTCTCCTTCTACTATTTGTTTCAATTCCATGGAAGACCGTCAAGTTTAAACGTAGAGTTAATTTTGAGCCCCCAACAGAGTAGAATCCAGCTAGTTCATCACCTTAGTAGTTACAAATGTATAACACCCATTGGCCAGTAGCACACTAGAAACATGAAACCCTACGTGTTTAGTATGTCAGAAAAAAACTTCTCGAAAATAAGTTACTTCCTGAAAAATATTTTGTTGTATATAATTAGTAAACAGAAAATATTTCAATGTTAACAAATTGGATAGAATATTGATGAACTTTTTTAGTATGAAAGATTGATAATAATATCTAAATGTCATTTGGAGCAGTGACATGAAGTTAAGAGTTGAAATGGTTGTGAAAAGAAAATGACTTCCACTCAAAATGAGCAAATTACTGCTTTCATAAGAAAAATCCGGCAACCAAAGCACCAAAAAAATGACTTGTTTTCCAGAAAACATTTGTTGACATACCAAATAAAACCTAAGAGTCACGTCGGAATAGGTGAATCGAATATCCGTTGACTAATTGTAATTCCTTAGCATAATTATTCTAGAAGTAAGTGGCACATAAATAGACAAAGATTAAATAATTAATAAAGGATATATTAGTCAAATAACACTCCTACTTAATTTTTTTCTTAAGGGCTGTGCAAAACCTTATTCCGGCAACTAAAAGGGAACAGAGTGAGTAACGAATTTATGTAGTGGCTGGAAAATATTACTGGATTTAGTTGGTAATAGTGTCAACTTGATCTCGAGTTAAGGAATTATAGTAATAGTTAAACTTCACAAAATTAAGGAGTTAAAACGTTTATTTTGTGAAATCGTAAATCTTATCTAGCCAATACAAGATCTAAGAGAGTCACAAAAGATATAATTATCTCACATGTATCTATTTTCAAGCAAACGAAAAAAAGTTAATATATTTGAATATCAAGAAATTCCAAGAAAACACAATACAGGAGTACGACTAATATACCATATCAATGCGGTTGTGGTTCAAATTGAATACAAGAAGACAAACTGTGAAACAAAGAATTAGCAAGAAACACACATAAATGGACAAGTAGTTATATATCTCAAGTTAAGGAATTACATTAAAAGTTAAACTTCACAAAATTAAGAAGTTAAACCGTTTATTTTGTAAAATTGTAAACTCTTATCTAGCCAATAGAAGATCTAAGAGAGTCACAAAAGACATAATTATCTCACACATTTATTTTCAAGTAAATTACAAAGTTAATATACTTGAATATCAAGAAAACACAATCTGTACGACTAATATATCATATCAATGTGGTTGAGGTTCAAATTAACTACAAGAAACCAAACTGCGTAACAAATAATTATCAAGAAACATACATAAATGGACAGTCCAAAATTACTTAATTTTAAAGAAAGACATCAAATAAGGGTTTGTGCAAGATGAATGGCAAGGCAGTGAGAACGGAGGATAAACAATTTCGAATCGTAAGCTTACTGCTGTCAACTCCGGCGAAGAACAGTCGCAGAATCGGAAGAAACAGTATTGAGAAGTGATTCAGCGATAATTCCCCCGTAAAAAGACTTTCTGGCTTCCTTTATTTTTCTGTTTTATTTATGCCTTTCTTCTTCTTCTTCTTCTCATTCGAGAAATTTCCTAAATACTGCGGTAATTATATAATGTTAAAATATGACACGGTTTAATCAAGCAATTTTATTTTTTTTTGGGGTGGTTTGGGGGAGGTAATTATATAATGTTAAAATATGATGTAAATGTACGATTTTATTATACACTATCATCAATTAAATGGTATAGTACTTTTACGAGTAAATAATAAAATATAAATATATATTTTGCGGTTATGAAGAGATAATATATTAATTTCATGTTGGTAAGGATATATTGTTTCGGGATGTACCCAGGGGCGGAGCCACCTTGTCCCAAGGGTGTCCAATTGGACACTCTTCGTCCATAAATTATACGATATATACACGTAAAGTTTTGATTTATATTGGTATGTATGGTATTTTGGACACTCGAAAATAATAAAGTAACCCGTAGTGGAGATGGCTAGAGCTGTTGCAAACCCACTCGGTGCCCCAGTTTGATTCCCAACATGAGCATTTTCATTTTTCTGTAATTATTTTGCCTTCTTGATATTTTAATACCTTTTTCCTTTGTGGATAAGATTTTCTTAAATTTGAATATATTTTCCTTTTGGAATAAAGTTTTAATTGAAAAAAAAATCCTTAAATTTTAAATACCTTTTCCTTGTGGAATAAGATTTCCTTATATTTTAATACTTTTTTCCTTTGTGGAATAAGGTTTTCTTAATTTTTAATACATTTTTCTTTTGGAATAAGGTTTTCTTTCTCTATAAATGGGAGACCCATTTACCCAAATTATATCACAATATTATTAAAAATACAATCTCTATAATTTTATTTTATTTTTAAATTACTATTCAAATTTAGACCCCCTTCATAAAAATTCTGTCTACGTCATTGGATGTACCCATTATATGATCAGATGTCATTTGATGGTCTACATTGTTGATATTGCATAGTTTAATTCTTCTAATTACAAAAGTAGTTTTGGGAGTGTCTGCTTACCCGAGTTCTATAGGATACATTGGAAAACTTCCAAAAAGGTCATTTCTTCCAAAAAGGGTCACTTTGCTCCTTCCGTAGTCAACTCCTCTACCACTCTATTTTCTTTTCAGTACGTGTGTTTGATAATTATGATCTCCAATTTTTTCATCAAGTACCTATATCTCGAAACAGTATTGTTAAAAAGTGAAAAGTTATTATTAATCATTTATATTATTTGGGATGAATCAATGGCTTGAGATTTTTGCTAGTGGCAAGACTCAGTCCATGTAGGATGGCTAGTCTTTCGACTTGTACCACAATCATGTGATAATAATACTCACGAAAGTCTTATGGGAGTATAAATATTATCCCTATCTCACAGGTAAATTTATTTTCAATACTCTAAGCTCAAAAATAAATAGTCCAAGACGTTTCAAAAAATAAAGTAACAAGAGTATAAAATATAAATTATGGGAACAAGACAGCACATAGTTTATATGATAATCACTATAACAAAATTATATGATAGTCAAAATACAAGGCAACAAATAACAGCAGAAATTGAAAGATCCAAAACTACAAAAGAGATACTATGACTATTGATATAAACGAGTGACAAGACAACATATTACTTTTTAACTGTCTACCTTAATTTGTGTTCTCTATAATTTCCTATATAAAATCATATACTTGCTTAATTTTTTTTAAAAAAAAAACACATAACATTCTATTATATATATATATATATATATATATATATAATATATGATGAAATTATTGAATATTATTTTTAGTGGCATATGCTTTTAAATTGCTTCACATGTGATGTAACATGTTAGTTATAAAATTTCTTTTAATGTTTTCTTCTCTCTTTTCTTAATCTAACTATCGAAATATCTAAATTGAGTTAAGCTATAAAGAATACAAATAATACTTATTATATATATCCATTGAAGTTATAAATTATAATGAAAATTAACCTTTACTTTTAAAATCGTTCCTTTTCATTAAATATATTTCTAATTAATTTTGTTCAAACCATCAAAATCGTCAAATTAATGTAAAACGGTAATTCATTTACTTAAAATTTATTAAGTTATTTAGTTTTTAAATTTTGAAAATTGAATTCTTGTAAAAATAAAGATATGTGTTATAGAGTTCTTTGTTTTACACCCTTACTCTGTACACCTTCTGATTAAATTTAAACTTATTCTCTATTGTATTGTTTCAGTAAATATTATATTCGGCTAAATATTATTTATCATCATTATCTTATTCTGCCCATTAATAATTTTAAAAATAATTTAATAAAAATATTATAAGATACAAAGTGGAGTTAGAAATTTAATAAATAAACAACAATATAACAAAATGCAACGACTATTCAAAAGTGCATCCCCCTTTAAAAATGAGATGTGAGACAACCCTCTCAAGGCCAATTCCGATCTACTGATAATACAAGTGAGATCTGAAAAAACAAGCCATTATTTTATTAGAGAGCTTATAGCAACCTCTCGAATCAACATCAGGCCGATTTAAATAAATTGTTGTACGATAAAAATAAATAAATTGTTTAATAATAAAAAAGGCAAAATAAAAAAAAAGGATAACAATCCTATAATAATAAATTTTCATGGTTACATAAATAAATATAAATTTCATAATATAATACAATAAAAGGTGAGTAATAATTTTAATAAATATTATTTTATTTTTTAAAATAAAATTAAAAAATACAATACAATAGGTTGACATTTGTGAACTGTGAAGAGGGATATCTTAGCCGAAATACTGTACCGTTCCACGGTTTCAGGCCGGTGAAACCATGCCGGCAATTTTAAACTCTTCCCTCTTTAACTTCCACCACCACCCACTGTTTTCGACGGCGGTTCTCTCACTCCGCCGCCACCACCTTAACGTCTCTCTTTTTTCAGCTTCACGCACTACTCTCAGAGCTTACTCTACTTCTTCCTCCTCAGTACCTATTGAATCATCGGCGAACCAGAATGTTCGAACCGGACGGTCCGGTTCAGCAACTTCGCCTCCAGTTGAACACGATACTGCTCAGAAAATCGACGTCAATCCTCCTAAAGGTACCCGAGATTTCCCCCCTGAAGACATGCGCCTCCGCAATTGGCTCTTCCATCACTTCAGAGAGGTATATGTATAAATTGATTACATTGTCTGCTGTTGTTGTTGCTGCTGCCGCCCTTGTACATTTGCTAATTTGTTTTTACATATTTCAGGTATCTCAGCAATTCGGTTTTGAAGAGGTTGATTTTCCTGTGCTAGAGTCGGAGGCTCTTTATATTAGGAAGGCTGGGGAGGAAATTAGAGACCAGGTTTGTAACTGGTGATTTTGTTGTCTTGTGAATTGGTAAATGCTAGGAGACCTTGGATTGTGAGCCAAATTATGACGAGGGGTGTGCTGATTTTGCTGGATCAAACTAGCTAACATTTAATTGTAGTCGGTGCATGATATGATTTGTTCTACATAAAAAGTGTTATTTATTTTGCTCTGCTTCATTCTTCTTTTGTTTATCAAGAAAAATATTAGTAGTTGGTTTGCTCGCATTATGGTTTGGCATGAGGAGTCTATAAGCTGATTTTAGTTCTAATTTGCTATTCTTGTAAGATACCTTTGTATCTGGGAACCAGAGACTTGCATTCTTTTCTTATTTTGTTACTTTATTTCTATCCAAATAAGAAGAAAACTATCAATTTGAACTCTAACTTTTAAATAGTACGCTATAACAATTTTCTATAAACTTCCTCTCAAGTTACCCCAAATCACTTGCTAAGTTTTGTGACTGGATCTGATAGGGATAAAATCATGTTTCAGATAGAAGACTAAGAATAATTACATGAAATGATTTGGTTCCCAACCGGTATTTCTTCTCGGAAGTGCTGTCATAAATGGGCATTTTTTCTACAAAAGATGTATTTTCCAATTTTCTCTTACCAACCATTCCTTGAGAGTGCGGGTGTGAATACCTAAATGAGGGTAATAGGTGAAAGGCTATTTGAAATCTTAATCACAACTCATGGTTGAGATTTCTTTATACTATTTCTTTTTTATCCCACTCTAACAATCCCGTTTTCGAGTTGGAAAAGTGTCCCATCTACAAGTATTTGAAGTATTGCACAAATCACTTCTTTGTACATTTCAACTACTTTTGTGAGCATGACTTAACCTATCAACAACAAATCATTGTCACTGTGTATAAGTTAAACTCATATACACTTATTTTTCTTAATTAGCGCTATACTTTGTTAGATCCCCCCTTAATGCTGCTGTGCGTTTGAAGACCTAGCTGATTTGGCCTTTTTCTTTTTTGACTACTCTGCTTATCGTTGAGCTAGGTAGGCTAGACTTGTTATGTTGTCTTAAGCATTGCAAAGAAAGAAACTGAAATGCAATGAACAATGATTTTTTTGAGAAGGTAACATTTTCTTGTATAACTATTTGCTACATAAAAACATTTTTTGAGAAGGTAACATGAACAATAATATCATTTGTTCTCTTTCTATATTGCAGCTTTACTGTTTTGAAGACCGTGGAAACCGTCGAGTTGCATTGAGGCCTGAGCTGACTCCTTCATTGGCAAGACTTGTGATACAGAAAGGGTAAATATCTAATTAGTTTTATTTGTGTATAGAATGTCATGATTCTTCAGCGACTTCTCAATGTTCACCATTCATTTATATTCTATTACACCTTTGTATCCAGGCGGGGATGCCACATTTTGATCTGCACGTTTTTTTCTGTCCAGAAAATCTGTATCTCTTCCATTGAAATGGTTTGCTATTGGACAATGCTGGCGTTATGAGAGAATGACCAGAGGAAGACGTCGTGAACATTACCAATGGAATATGGATATAATTGGTGTACCAGATGTAACGGTAGGTTAAGCTCTATATATTTGGTTGATCCTTGGTACTGTAATAAAGCATTTGAAAAGAAC